CCCCCCCCCCCCCCCCCCCCACAGGTGTGTTTGTTTCGCGCGGCACCGACATGGCGGAGGGGCTTGCCTGCCGCGGCCCGCGCGACCACCGCACTGGGGCCGCGTCCCATGGCGATTGTCGGCTCGCCTGGGGCCGCCCTCGGGCCCGGGCGCGCCCGTGCGCGCAAGTGTTTGGGCATGGGCTGCGGGCGAGAGTGTGCGAAGCGGGCGCTGGCGCCGCCACCGGGGCCCGGTTTCCCAGAAGGGCGACCCGGCGCGGTGACAACCCCCGGGCCGGACATTCCTGCGCCGGTGGACGCGTGAGGTCGCGTACGCCCGCCGGCCAGACGGGCCGCGCCCCAGAGCTCACCGGGGGAGCACCCGGCCCGGGTCGCGCGGGACTTTGGTGGCAACCGGCCATGTCCTGCACCCCGGGAGGGGGAGGCGGACGGAGCCAGGGGCTGCGGGCGTGCCCCGGCCGCCCGGCCCTCGACGCCGCCGGACACGTATGCCGTCTGTCGGGGCTCGAGCGGAGTGTGTGTGTGTGGGAGAAAAGGGCCCAGCCCGCTGGGCGGCCAAATCCCCCCCGCGAGAGCGGCCCCATACCTTCGTTCCGAGACATTGCGAGAGGCCCTCCGTGCGCCTCCCCCCCCCCCCCCAAAGGGGTGGCTCGCGGATCGGCCACCGGGCGCATGTTTTTGTCTTGCGGCCCGGCGAAGGGGCCCCGGGCGGGGGGCGGCCAGGGGCGGAACCCGGACCCCCTGTGTGTCAATTTGCTCTGGCGCGCCTGCCCCCCCCCCCCCGGCTGGTCGGCCCCTGTTCCCGGCTCACCTGCCTCGCGGGCGGAGGGCTATTTCGGCGGGCGCCCCCCGGCGGCGGAGGCCACACTCCCCAAGGCACAAGCACTTTCTCCCCCTCCTCCGTTGCTTGCAGTTGCTTCTCCCTTCTTGCATCGTCAACCCCTCCCCCTTGTTGGTATTTCCCCGCCGTATCCCCACCACTCGGCTGCATCTTCGCCCTCGCCCATATCCTCCCCACCGCACCCCTCTCCCCGGCCGCGCCACCCTCTCCCCACTGACCGAGTGTCTCCCCTTGCTCGCCTCCC